ACGTGTGTGTGTGTGTGTGTGTGTGTGTGTGTGTGTGAGAGAGAGAGAGAGAGAGAGAGAGAGAGAGAGAGAAAGGGAGAGGGAGAAGAATAGTGTGAAGTGTACGTCAATTGCAAAATCCTTCGTTTTCATTCAGTGTTGTTTAGTTTTTTACCCCCTCAAAATTTTATTTTTCATCGAGGCGTGTGAGTATACAGTAACTAAATGCTACAGTAAGCGAAGTCTATACAGAGTGCCCATTGCGGACGGGATCGGTTCGGGTCGGGTCGATCGTCCCACTCGTCGTCTGGAAACAAACACGTTTGTTTTTGAGGTGACGGGTCGGGCGCTTTCGGCCTGTGCCACGATAGCCTCTTTTGCGCCTTTTATCTGGTTAGCAAACCCCCGACCTGACCCGATCCCCCAATGAGCACCGCGTATTAGGAATTTCCCAAGTGATACCTTTTAGGAAACACTTTGTATAGTCTTGTTCATGGAGTGCATTTGCTAAATCTCTCAACTTAAAGATTCCTTGTTGCTGACTTCTGCTCATTGAGACAATAATATCTGCTGTTATATAACCCCCCCCCCGGGCCACACCCCCTTCCTCACCACCAACCCACTCAGACTCTTTCAGTTTCCCAAACCTCAATATTCTAGTGCTTACGTAATCGAGAGGATCGTCAGTGTGTTGATTTGAAGTCCTCTTGCAAACGATAACAGCTTTCCGCTGTAAGGTGACCTACGGGCCATTCGACAAATGGTGTAAGCAAGTGCTATCCTGGCGAATTTTAGTTATTTAACTCTTTCTTTAGGCTACCTAGAAACAAACTATCTTTGCGTTCAAATATCTTGGCCGACCTGGTTTAAGACAATAATAATTGATCGTTTTTAAGCACAAGGGGGCTGTCCCGAAAAATGCTGTTTCGAGAAAATCGAAGCGAAAGTTTTTTGCCCCTTGTTCAGTTTCTTTAAAAAACAAGGAGAGTTTTCTCTGTAACCAAACAAATATACACACCACTGAAGCCAAACTTCTATAAGCAGAGCAATGCCCACTTTTGTTGCAGGTCAAGATTTCTTGAAACCCCCAAAGTCTGGGTTTCCCGCTTGTCCTTAAAAGTGACAAAGTGTTGTCAATTTAACCTAACATTAAGTATACGTATAGGCAAAAGCCAAATATAGAAAAGAAAGGTAATTTTTCCCATGTCTCGGAATAAATATACACAAAGATAGATAGATAAATAGATAGATAGATAGATAGATAGATAGATAGATAGATAAATAGATAA